CATTCTTGTTTTCTTACAGTTCTAACAGCCGCTGTGAGACCTAACACCTTAACGTCTTGGGCCTCCGACCAGGAAATTGATGTCACAATCACAAGCTGGCTACATCTGGCTCCTTATCGGGATGGTGACAGGAAGAAAAGCATAAGAAGAAAAGAGTGCATGGAGAGAGCGCAACAATGATGGATAGAAAAATACCGTTCAAGAGGAAGCTGCATCCCAATTTGGACTTTGTGTTCACTGTTAAATAAAGAAAAGTGCATTTTTCCAGTGTATGTGGAGTTATATGTGAGGTTTGCAAATTATGACAATAAACATATTTTTATAACAGTTGTTTTTGAGACTTTTTTTTTTTTAAATGTGGGTCAAATATGGCTCATGAAAGATGTGGCTTAGTTGAGGTTGAATTAAGGCTGATATCAGGAACCTGTTCTGGCCCGGCGTCGGGCCGGAGTAGGGCCGGATATGGTTATACAATGCGGCTCAGATCCGGGACGGAACGGGCCCCGGTCCACTGCAGGACCGTCATTCATTGCGGTATGTGGGCCGAGTGTCGTGCCGTGTCCGCGCCAGAGCCGGGCCAGACCAATTTTGCTGACTGGGTCCCACCATTTGAAGGCGGAAGGGGCGTGGCCATATTGCGGACTCGAAAGTGGCGTTTTTTAGAATAGTTAGTTATGCACTGTGTATCTGCTGAATATAATTCTTAAAGTAACTTTTAATCTAACTTGGTTTCTTATAAATCAAGTCATCAGTACAGTGCTTGACTTTTTCAAGGTAACTTGTGGCCACACGGATTCTTTCCCATCTGTCTTCTCTCTCACTATCCCATCTGTCTTTATCATTTTCCTCTCTCTATTCCATTTATCTCCCATCTTTCGCTTTTCACCCCCCTCTCTCTCTTCAAACACACACACACACACACACACACACACACACACACACACACACACAGCCACACATAAACATATTGGCAGTCAGCCAACATGCAAGTGTGCCCTTCGTGTCTGTCACCAGGTGATAAGGTTACACACACACACACACACACATACACACACACAGTGGTGGGTAAAGATAAAAGCATAGTGAGCGTGCATTTATTTATTTTTTTTATCTCAATGCTGCAGTGTGTGTGTGTGTGTGTGTGTGTGAGAGAGAGAGAGAGAGAGAGAGAGAGAGAGAGAGAGAGAGAGAGAGAGAGAGAGAGGCCATTCCAGACGAGTTTTGAACTTGAACACACAACGGAACAGCCCTAATGGCTTGACGCTCACTCATTCATCACGTTTTGGCCCGCAACACTAAGTAAGAAAATCAGCCAAGCGACAGCTCGTATCTCCAAAAATTGTGAATTAGATTGGAGCACTCGTAAACCAAGGTGCCACTCGTATGCACAATTTCCCACGCATTTGATATTATATCCATCCATCCATTTTCTAATCCGCTTATTCTCACAAGGGTCCCGGGCGTGCTGGGGCCTATCCCAGCTGTCCTCGGGCAGCAGGCAGGGGACACCCTGAATGAACTGATTGCCACCACCGGGCAAACATAGACAAACAGCCATTCACAGTCACAATCACACCTAGGGACAATTCGGAGTGTTCCAATTACCTACTGTGCATGTTTTTTGGAATGTGGGCGGGAACCGGAGTACCCGGAGAAAACCCACGCAGGCATGGGGAGAACATGCAAACTCCGCACGGGAAGGCCGGAGCCGGAATCGCACCCTGCACCTCTGCACTGTGAGGCGGATGTGGTAACCAGTCGTCCACCGTATCGCCACCGGTTAAAATGGAGGATACATTTTTGCTCCAGATAGTCGACCAAAATGAAAACATTCAACAAGAAACATCAAGTAGACATATTGCGCTTGCTTTAGTGGGCCACATAAAACGATGCGGCGGACTGGATCTGGCCCTCAGGCTTTGAAATTGACACCGGTGGTGTGAACCATAATCGCACCTTCAACTTGAGTTACAACCCGGTTGGGAAACGTGCCAACTATCGAGGCCAGTGGAGCAACTCATTCTTTCTCGATGCCTGACAGCTTGTCTTTCTTCCACGCGTGTTTAATTAGTTTTAATAATTGGACAGGAAGTAGGTCACATTGTTACAGCAGGAAAGTGGCCGCACAGTCACCTAGATTCGTTATTCATAGATCTGGGCTGTACAAATCCTGCCCCAAGCGGCCATTTGCGCTGTTTTTTACCGCCCTCGATTTAGGTGTGGTTTCGCTAAGGCATGCGAGGCTCACAGGTGAGGCTGCCAAGTAGCAGTTGTTGAACGCTGAAGCCATCTGTCGTTAAAATGAGCTGTTAGCCTGGCGTATGGAGCTGCAGCTAATCCTTAGCAAACATACAGAAGGTCACAGAAAGCAGGGTTAATTAAGGGAGAACTGGGTTGGACAGATCCGTTGTATTCAACGTGCGATTTGGAAACCTGTTTTAAAATGTTGCCTCTGTCACACAAATCCATCCATTCATCCATTTTCGAATTCGCATTATCCTCACAAGGGTCACGGGGTGTGACGGAGCCTATCCCAGCCTCTCTTCGGGCAGTAGGCAGGGGACACCCTGAACCGGTTGTCAGCCAATCGCAGGGCACACAGACACAAACAACAATCCGCGCTCACACTCACACCTCGGGACAATTTAGAGTGTTCCATTAACCGGCCATACATGTTTTTGGAATGTGGGAGGAAACTGGAATACCCGGAGAAAACCCACGCAGGCACGGGGAAAACGTACAAACTCCAACCACGACCTCAGCACTGTGAGGCTGACGCGCTAACCAGTCGTCCACCGTGCCGCCCAATACTCATGAATGTCCAAAATGATGTTGTACAACAAGCTCCTCACAGTACCAAAAGTGACATTTTTCACAACACACACACACACACACACACACACACACACACACACACACACACACACACACACACACACACAATCGCCCGTGCCAAGATGGTTGACAGTGCAAGTGTCAGTGCCCGATTCAAATTTCATTTTGAATCATGGTCTATTTCCCTGCACATTTTATGTGATACATCCAGTATCTGATATGACTGATGGAACACATGAACCAAATGGCATGAGAAGACACCCACATTGAGGCGAAGCAGAGACAACTTTGGGACTCATTGGGAATCATTTAGGGCCAAAGGCTTCTTTACCTTGCACTTTTTTTTTTGGGGGGGGGGATTTGATTGCAGCAGAGAAAGGGCGTGTGGAATACGGCACTCCGATGCAAGCCTTCCCATATTTGGAAGTGGTTGCTTATTAGCCTACCAGGAAGTGTCATGGCTGCCGGTCGTACAGTGCGCGCGGTTCAACATCGACCTTTCCTGAGTGGCTGACCGGTGGCTTTGCATTGCCAACGGCCTCTCATATTGATTCTCGCCCATTTCCTGTCTTTGTGGCAGTTCATTACTTCCTTGACAATCACGCCATGTTTTTGTGGTTCCGTTAAAAAGAAGCAATACGGTGCAGAATATTGTTTGCTCAAAACCTAATACAGGGTAAGTAAAGGTGAGGTGTTCAATCGCTTGGTGTGGAGCGAAGAGGGCAACTCCTACGGTCATTTTTTTTCACATTGTTTTCACCTTAGTCTCACGTTTCTCGATTCTCATCAATAAAATGCGTTCAAGTCGTCTCCTGGGTTCCATAAAGAACAGCCTACTACAGAACTCCAAATTCTCTGAACAGAATACCTTTGCATAAAAGGGGCGTGGCCTCCCTCCGTTGCTGCTTTTTAAAGCCGAAGAATTTGCTTTTTCGCTTCTTGCCGGGCCGGTAGCTGGACTGCGGCGGCACCTCTAGTTCCCTGACTTTCAGAGGTGACGGGTCAGGAGGTATGTAGCCAAGGCGAGGCTCCGGGGTGGGAGGGCAGGAGCTAGTCCGTCGCCACTGCGGGAGGGCGGGGCGGGGTACCTGATGGGACTGCACAGGCTGCTTTCTGTGAATTTCAGCAAACGACATTTTGCCGTGTGCCTCCGGCGGGACGCTGGTATAGATTCGGGCTTGTGGCGAGCGGTGCTGGTCGTAACAAGGTTTGGGGTATTGCGGCTGAGGCGGGAGGGGCTTTTGGTGCCCAGAGGGCGGCCAGCCAGCCATTCCTGCATTTCGTCCCCAAATGGCTTCCTGGTGCTGGTGGATTTTAGCCGTCAGCAGACGTCGCCGAAGACTGCCTTCTGTCTTGGGCTGAAGCGGGACGATCTTACGAGGAAGAAGCTGGTCTTGCTCCTCATCGGGCTCCGAATTCCAGCACTGCGACGCCACGCTGTTCCCTGCTGCCCCGTCTCGACCCAAACACTCCACGTAGGAAATCATCCTGTCGTGAACGTCTGAAGAATGGCACCGCCGGGCCACCGACAATTTATTGTACTTCTTTCTTCAAAATAAAAATCTGGCTCTTGACATTTTTAGGTCAGGTGAAAAAAAACTAAAGTCTCCTCTCGCACAGAAAGCGACTCGTCCGACCTTGCCGCAGCCCAGAAGCATCCGAACATAAATGGGATCTTCCTCTGAGTGTCGCTTGTGTGTTGCTAATCTACTAATGAGGATTATCCAGGTCTGCAGATGGTGACTGACCTTAACACATGTTGCTCCGTCTTAAATTCCGGAGTCAACCTGCATCGTTCCTTCTTTGGATCTCCGACCTCAATGTGGCCACTTACGCTGACACCGTGCATCATGTCAGACCGAAAACTTTGGAACGAGTCGTCATCACCCAAATCACTTCTGATTATCTCAAGTCAATTCAAAGCAGATAACAGAGGTGGTGAACGTAGCTCAATTTTGTATTTGAGGCTTGGACACACCAAACCTACATCCGGTCTGGCTGGAAAAGTGACGCCGGACAAACTGCACTGACTCCACCCAACGGGTACGCACCTTCTGTTCATTTGTGATAAGTGATAACCCGCCAAAGCATCAGATGGCAGTGTGGTCAGTGTTCTTCGGAGATTTCAACTGAGTTTGATGCACCACCAAAAGCACATAGCGTACCATGTAAAAAAAAAAAAAAAGCACCCCATGTTGTCCTCCAGCCAGAGGCTAAGCTGCACTGTGTTTGTTTGTGGAGTGAATTTGCGCCACTTCCTGTCACTTAGTAAACTGTTCCATGTGGTAGCATAGTACGTCTCTCTGGTGTACTGGAATAATCAAAATGTGACCACTACAAGTCAATACTACAACCGCCAAGGACGCGCAAAAAAATAAATAAATAAAAAATCATACCATACAAAATCATGCCATACCTTTTTTACTTCCATTTGCGTCTTTATATTTGTACTTATTTTACTACTATTTTACAAAGTGTGTCAGCATTTGAGGGTTTGTTTTTATTACTTCTGTAGAAAATGAACTGAATTCATGCAACACTGGTTTAATACAACCAAATTATCATCACATTAAAATTTAAAAAAAAGTTAGTCGAATTTGGTGCGAGACACACCAAGTCAGAATTGAGGTCATTTCAATTAACATAGAAAGAGTGGATGAAAATAATTGCTTGGAGTATTAATTTATGCAAAATTCTATTGGAAGTCACACAGTCTATAATATCCAAACGAAAATGTCAAAAATCATGAGGATCCTCTACAAAACCAAGGATGCCTTCAAGAAGTAATCATGCACATTATGTGGTTCATACCTGACCTATTGTGTGGAAACGGTGCGAGACAAGATCCATATATTTGATTACTTCTTCCTACTCCCTTTTGAACATATGCTGTGTTTAAACGATGACGATTAATGTGCTTTCTTGTTCAAATAATTTAAAAAAACTTTCTTTTACAATGTATTATCTGTTTGAATCTTCAATTAAAAAACAAACGAGGCACCCCTCGGCAGATTGAGAATTCTCGCGGTAAGTATGATTTCGAACGAGAGCTCGACGAGAATGTAGTCGTGATTGGCTGGAGCGAAATCATAGCGACGCTACGATTGGTGAGGCTTAAGGGAGATCGCAAGAAACGCACGGTCCGATTGGTCATTCAGAGGCAAGTCGTGACGTCACTGGAACGCCTTCTCGAAGTGGTAGGTTCGCCTTATGTTTTGTTGGAGGGGGAAAGAAATGGAATTTCCATTCTTTTTGCGCTGAGGGATTCTACAGGACAACAGATTTGACATCCGCCAGGGGCAGGTCGGTTGACGCGAGGCTGGAATACGTCGCCGTGAAAGAACAAGCAACACAAATTAGCCTGTTCACTGTTAGCCGCATCATTGTTTTCAAAGGGAAACGACTGTACCCGGGCAAACAACTGGCTTGCTTTATTTTCATTCAGATTTCACAGGGTGATTAATCATAATCACACCGTGTTCTGCTTCGGCCAATAAATCAAGCTTTGGCCAGGAAGTACACATTGATGGTGTTAGCAATCGATCAATAGTTCTGAAATCAGGTTCATTTTTTTCCTAAATATTTGATCAATACCCCCCGCCCCCCATGCATTTTCTTTGGTGAAATTGTTAAAAGAATGAATCAATGTAAATCATCTCCAAACTTTTTCAACTAGTGATTTGACCCACAACCTGTACCTGGTTGCATAATTGTGCACACCCTCTTATGACCGCAAACGTGGCTGTGTTCAGAATCAACCAACAATCACATGCAAACTCGTGCTAAATGGTAGTGAGCGCACACCCGTCACTATTGAAAGTGCCTCTTAATAACCCCAAATCAAGTTAAGATGTTCGAGTAGGCTTTCCCTGCCATGTTTTTCTAGCAGAAGCGTGTGTGTTAATATTAACTGCTGTTTGGAACCGATCAGAATTTCCTCCACAGTGACAATGTTCTAGCTGAAAAAAACATCTTGTTTACAGTTTGGAATCAGGGCCAGAAAGTTTCAAAGAAAAAAAACAACTCCTGAATGGGGACAATGTGTTCTGGTCTGACCCTTTGTCCCCCTTTTTGTTTTGACTAAGAATTGAATATTTTTTGACATCCTACTCATACGCTGAATTGTACATGCCAAGACATTTCAACGCACTAATAGAATAACTATTATACAAGTGATTTTTTTTTCACTACTGCCTTTGAGTGAGTAGATTATTAGTGAGTTAAAGCTGTGTACTAGTTGACATCTGTGCATTACTTGTGACAACATTCTACTAGTTCTCTAGTGCTTGACTGTTAGTACTCGTAGCACGCATGAAGTAGTTCAGTATTGTCTCACTGGCAACATGTATTCATTCTACCAGTGTGCTCAAGTGTCTTTCCGCGACGAATAAGAGGATACTAGTATACAGACAATCCTGGGCACTAGTAGAACAGCGTTGTCTTACTTGTATGACATTTCTGTGCACTAGTAGAATGTCGAGGGTGTTTTGGTCGAACGAATGACGTCTTACTCGTGAGGGAAACTGCACTAGTTCACAGCTGTGTGCCACTAGTTGTCATTCTAAAGTTCTACTAGTTAGCAATATCATTTCGTGGTTCGTGCGCATGCTCACTCGTGCCTGGACAATGAAAGGCACTAATGGGATATGAAATCAATTCTCAAATAGCTCTCTGGGTCTGTTTCCCGCCATGCAGCCATGTCGGTCATCCAACAGCCTCGAGGGGAAGCGGGCGGCGGCGTGGCCGCCCACCTCCAGTGTCCCCTCTGCGGCAATTTTGCCAAAAGTCACGCCTATCAGCTGTCGCACATCGCCTTCGCCCATCCCACCTACTTGGACGGCGTGGCGATGGGTCGCCTCGGCAACGTCGTGATGTACCAGAGCGGCGTCCATTTGTTCCATTGCGCCGAGTGCTTCTTCACCAGCCGCGACTTCAACAAACTCTATCAGCACATCATCGCCAAACACTGCTTGGACGAGGCGGCGGCGGCGGCGGGAGGAGGGGTCGACGCGGAGGACAACGGGAGCGAAAAGGGGGACAAGGAAGCAGACGAGGAAGCGAAGGAAGCAGACGAGGAAGCGAAGGAAGCAGACGAGGAAGCGAAGGAAGCAGATGAGGAAGTCAAGGAGGAAACGAAGGAAGTCACGAAAGTAGACACGGATCCGAAGGAAGCCAACGAGGAGGATGAGGCAACTCCTCCGGGACCCAACGGCGGCGTGGAGGTGAAGGATGAAGACGGCACCTCTGAGAGGTCGATCTGCGACGCGGATGAAAGCGTGTTGCTCTTCGACGGCGACATGTACCACTGCCTGATTTGCGGCTGCTGGAAAAACAGGCTGAAAGGTTCGGCCGTCACCCACGTGGTGCGAAAACATAGCATCCCCAGGGCATTCACCTCCCAGAGGATCAGACTGGATGACCTCGCTCCAAATTCCGCCTTTACACCCAAACGGCATCCGAACGGCGGTGCGGAGGAAGAGGAAGAGGACGGCCTGAGCGCCGACCTTCTGAAAGAAGAAATGGAGGCGATGGCCAAAGTGGTCCACTTTCGCTCCAATCGCTACGTCTGCGTCCTATGCGGCTGGAAGACCAAAATGAAAGGTGAGGCCCCAGAGTGGCGATCTCTCATCGGTTCTTTCAATTTTCAATTGGGGGGGAAAAAAAAAAGTGACTTGATTATTCTGTTTTAAGGATGTCCAAATCATACTTTTTTTGGCAGTACGCGATTATTTTAAACCAAACCGTCATCGTCACTTCATCATCGTTATTTTAAACCGTCCCACTATTTTAGGATCGACAGATCTGCTTTTCGGACTATTTACGGCGTCACAGCACAAGCTAAACCAAAACAAAGATCGCTCTCTGTCTCATATACGTCCGGCATTTGTGACCCAAACTGGAATATTTCTGCAAAATTTAACAGAAAACCATGAAGGCTTACCGGTATATGCAAATCGATACACACACATAATATATGAGACTCCAACAAAGATTGTAGATTTCTGTTGTCACAGCAACCAAGCGCCAGCGCATCGGCAAAGTTGTTAAGTGTAAAATGTTGATATTTGATTTGAATTCCACTGGAGACAAAGCATAAAGTGGACATTTGTAGTGATCGTCACACTTGCGACAGGCAGACTTTGCATTTGTGACGCTAAATATTATTAATGCCGTCCATCATGACCGCAAAACATTTCAATCTCATCCCTCTTCGATGGAATTTCAAGTGACGAGTGCGAGCATGTAAACGGGGGATCCTGGGAACATGCAATAGAGGAATGAGCGGAGCCCATAGTCAATGCAGTCCATTTGAAGCAACCCCGCTATCTTTTCACCCGTGTGAAAAAACAAACAAAACACGCGAGACACGCGCCGTCTATTTTCATCAAATGAGTACCAGTCAAGAGGAGAGCAGCAGCATTATGGACCAACTGGACACGCTTCATGGAGGATTGGCTGACTCCTCAAAGTAAAATGCATGACAGTAATGGAGCCGAGATGTGACGAAGGCATGAACGCCAGTTTCCAAGTGCTCACCAGAGAAAGGAGAGGCTTGACTTAAACGTTCGATTCCTCCGCACCGTTGTGTGTTCGTTGAAAGGTCGCAACTTGAAGGTGGCACTCACCGACATGTTTCCCGTGCAGGTTTTGCCATCAGTCACGTGGTGCGTTGCCACGCCGTGGAGCGTCCGTACGGCTGCAAAGACTGCACGGCCACGTTCTTCCTGCCCAGCCGACTCCAGCAGCACGTCCGAGCGGCTCACCGGCCGGGACGCTACGCCTGCCCCTTCTGCAGCTTCAGGTCCCACTTCCTGGCTGGCTTCCGGAGGCACTGCAGCCGATGCACCGCCCGCGAGGAAGGCGAAGGAGGAGTCGGGTTGCTGATGGGCGAGGAGGGGCGAGGGGCCGTGGTGGTCAAGGAGGAGAGCAAGGAGACCAGGGCAGGCCGGAAGAGAGCGCGGAGGCTGATTGAAGAGGCGGGGGATGAAGATGAGCTCATGTTCTAACGCGGGGCGAGAAAAGGACTGGACATATAGCCCGCCGACAGGCAAAATTGATGCATTACTTAGCCATCTCTTTTTTTTTTTCTACAATCAGGTGATTAAAGTGCATTTAATCATTTTGGAATCATTTATCTCATTCAATAATTGGTTGCATTTGTGAAGGTAAAGAAAAAAAAAGAATGGAATGGAAATCAAATGTCATTCGACATCACACGTACAGCGCAATGAAACTCAACGGTTTCAACCCGTCCAATTGAATGAATAAAAAAGAAAAAAAGACCAAAACAGGGAGACAGAACGGGATCAGGCACGGTAGATAGGTGACCGCTTCTGCGTCAGCTAGCACATCGAATTTCTGAGATGAAAGAGCAAAACAAGGAAGGACGAGGTGTCAGCGAGCAAGATTAAGTAAAACGAGTCGTATAATTGATCAGCAATCCAATCGAAAATGAGCATGAATTCACTTTGACAAAAATTTCAATTAATTGGGATGACCTGAGCCCGTTTTTCCATCCAGTCCCTCACCCACATCTCATGATGGTCACGGGTGAGCTGGGCCTTTTGTAGCTGACTTGAGGCAAGGGGTGGGATACACCCCGGATTGGTCGCCCACCAGTACCAGTCATAGGACTCGCAGACGGCCATTGCCAACCCATTCCCAATCGAGAACATGAATCCCATGAGAGGATGCCGTAGCATCCGCGCGCATGGGAGAGAGGCCGGATTCAAACCCTGAACCTCAAACTGTAATGCGGACACGCGAACCACTGTGCGGTTTTGTCCCATCTGTTTTAAAAATCTAACGTGGCCCTCGAGCACTTGAGTTCATCCACCTTTTCGAACATGTTTTGCTTCCATTCTCCAACATTTGCTCCTCCTTCCTCGTGTTGCATGTGTGACAAGGAAACTTTTGCCAGCGCGTCAAGACGACCAAACGCGGTGTTGACGGGAGGCAGCGATGCAGATTTATTGATTCATCACAAACAAAGAAAAACCAAAGCTACCAATCGCAAAGTGATGTCACTCGGCCACAGAAACGGCTAACAAATCTGCAATGACCTCACCACGCTTCTCGCTAGCAAAAGGAAGTCACGGCGGGCGGAGATACGAACTGCTAAGCCACCACAGACGACGTGATCGAGTGCAACATTTGTTCCGCCGCTCGAAACTAAATTGACACGGTTTACAATAGCCTCGGTTTGCAATAAAAAGCTCGGATCACACGAAAGCATTGCGGGATTCCCCCTCCCCTCCCCAAAACAAAAGGACTTGGCGTATGGCGGCGACAACAGAATTCTGTTCTGGCTGCTGCAAGCCAAAGAGTTCAGACGGGCCAAAATACAAGTGAGGCTTCACCATCTCCTTTGCTCGAAATCTTTCAAACGCCAAACAAGCGCCGTCAAAGCTGTGCAAGATGAGACAAGCCGCAAGGCGAAAAGATTGTCCCGATGGCTTCCCCCCACCCCCACAATCCACCATCGGCCAAAAACAATGACCGAGCGTCCGGCTGGTTTCCGCAGCAACGCCTCGCCGCAAACCTCATACGTGTCGGGGGCACCACGCTCCCTCCAGGGCGGCCATGTTGAGTCCCCTCAGACCAGGATAGTCGTCTTCATCGCCGTTGCCGCGGTTGCCCCCGTCGCGGCCCTTCAAGCCCGACGTGTAATCGCTCGACTCCTGACGGAGGAATGAAGGGGGCCGGGCTTTGATGAATATTCAATTTCCTGTCCTGTGTGTCACTTCCTGTTAACTCACTGTCCGCAACGCGGGCTCTCTGAATGGCGGACACACCATCTGGAAGCGAGGGATTGCTACGTTGAAGACTTCCTTGTTGTCTGAGGCAAGAAAGAAAATACACGGGAGAATATAAATAGCGATAGGTCAACATTTTATGGAATCGCTGGCAAGTACAGAAGGCCTGCTGGTCGAACGGAAAGTCTCATCGCCTATTGAAATACTCTCACGTACTCGGATACATGTGCATGTTTCAGTCGGGTCTTTTAGTTGTTTTCGTGGTGCGTGTGGGCAAAATTAGATCACGTGTTTGTGTGAACCGAATGTTTTAACAGACTGCC